ACCCTGAACGCTGACCTGCGGAATCGTCAAGTCATGTAGAACTGAATTTTGTAATATCATGAAAGTTCATCTGTGTTTGTAGTAATCATAGTAAATAGTGAACTTTGTTCCAATACAAAGATTACACAGAGATCAAATTTTTGACGACCACTGTTGCCTTCATCGGGATAATTAATAACCAATCACTTTAATACACAATCTTGCGAGAGTTGCGATATACAGACAGGTGACCTTAATCACACGAGACTTTACGGATACGTGACGTAAGCAATAGCTCAAAAGCACCAGGCAGTTTATATCGTCCGCCGTCTCTGTGATGGCTGGAGTGTCCTGATGAAGGCGATAGTGGTCGTTGAAAATTTGATCTGTGTAATCTTTGTATTGGAACAAACTTCAACATTTTACTTACATTTTAAAAACTGTTAAAAGAAGGTTGAAGATTGTTAAAAGACTGTTTAGGTGACGAACTGAATGCACCGTGTTCTGTATGTTCTGATTTGTTTACCTTTTTCTCCTGGACGTCATTGCTTCCCCCGTTTTTGTAGCCATCATACAGATGTGGTACAGACCCTTTCCTGGTAGAGAACCACTTGTGACGATAGAACTTAAGTGTCAGCACGTCTTGAGCCAGAAGAATCCCCGGGATGTCGTACGGCATGTCAAACACGACTGTGAACTCCTTTCCTCCGGTCATGTATTCCCATGTTGGCACGCCGGTGTTGTCTTCCTGAAGGAACGCCAACATGGCGGTTTCACAGCCTGCCTCTCCAGCGGGCAGGAGGAAGTCTGAACTCAGGAGACGACCCTACAGGTAAAACATGCTTAATGAGTAATGTCTATGTTCTAATATCTTAGATCATCACTGGACTGGAATTTCAAAGCCAATTAGGATCTAGAATCCTTCAAGGATTCGATATTATTCGTATCAGTAAATATAAAATAGAATAATTGATACGAATTAAAAATGAGTTTAAGTTTATTTGTAAAAAGGCGGAATGTTAATGTAACAAGTATCCTCCTTACCTCTTCTAGGTACACTGTAACAGCACGTTGAAGCGCCAGCCTCCTCTTCGTCATGCTGTCTTCAAGGGCTTTACGGTTTTCAAAATTACAATAACGGATCTCAGTAACCGTTACCGGTTCACTTCCATTTTTAGATCCCTTGTTGCCAACATCCGGTTTTACTGTCTTTTGAGTGTAATACTTTCGGCCAGTTCCCACTTCCGTCTGAAGATCCCTAAGATAATAAGCAATTATTAATCGGTTTTCTACTATGAATAGAGTTATAGCGAAACTACGTACATTACAAATCAAACAGTTGAAATCCCATTGTTCTAAGTACATTATCTGAATGCTTGCATGCACTATTTCGTAATTTAAAAACAAGGCTAAATAAATGTACAATCTACTACTAGATATTAATTTGGTATCTAGTGAAAGACATCTTATCTAATGTGGTGACCTGTCTTTTTAGACTATTTTTTTATTACCTCTACATTTACTATAGGCAGGTTTTGTTAAAAAGTACTATATACATAATTGTATAGTCTTACCTCCTACCAAAGCAACCATAGTCCACCTCCCCTGCAGGGAAGAGCGAGACAAAGGGGATGTTCAGTAGATCTGAGACCAGCCTCAACACGAAGGAGAAGGGTTTTGGGTAGTCGTTAATGGATTCTAACCAGTCCTTCAGCTCTGTTGTTAGGGCTGTCGTGTACATCTCCGTGATGGCAGCGGCGATCAGCTGGTCTCCGCCTTGAACCACCAGAACCTCGTTACTGTACTCCTGGGCTGATCTGAATGGAAGAGATAAAATATTGAGCTCAATCTGTGATTTTTTCAAGTAAAACCATAATGTTAACACTAGAAAGGCCGGCATTTGCTTGATAGCAAATGCAGCAGATGGCTTCACCACATCCCCCATACCGAAAATGGATCTATCCTACGATGGCTGCCAATAGTCTACACCCCCATGCAACAATGGAACCTTCCAATGCCGGAAATAGCCAAAAAGCCCTATTCTTCATAACTTTTTAAGTGGTGTATGTCAAAATCGTGAATGACATTCTTTGGACATGTGTCCAAGGTATCCCCATACCAAATTTCAGGTCATTCGGATTTTATATTAGGGCACAGGAGCCAAAAAGCCCTATTTTACACAATTTTAAAGTAGTATATGTCAAAATCTTGAATGACTATTTGTAGACATATGTCCAAGGTATCCCCATACCAAATTTCAGGTCATTTGGTTTTAGTACCTGGGAACCAGATCTCAAAATGTGTATATTTTGCCTGAAAATGGCCAAAAAAAAACCAAATAAAACAATTTTTCAAAAATTAAAAAAGCGTCTGGGGGTATTGGCCCACTCTACGTCCATGCCAAATTTCAGGTCATTTGGCTGAAAAACAGCTGAGTTGAATCCCTTTAAAGAAATGGCAGGAGGAGAAGAAGAAGAAACATGAGGGAACACAATATGTCTTCACCACTTTGTGGTGAAGCCATAATAAAGAAGGACCGGTTCTAAAATGAAACAGAAGATCCCGTTTTAGTTATGCATATGTGTTTTTAACTAATAAAAATATTTTTCAAAGTCTATATGCTCAAGTAAACATTAAACATTGTGAACATTAAAAACGAAGCAAGATAGTTCTAAAAAATGATAATGATGTTGACATTGTAAAATACTAAATTATGTAATTTTGCAAGTACAGCAGGGCGTATTTACAACTGATAATAATAAAGTTGTATCCATACCTATATTTAACTCTTAAATAAACAGACTTACGCTTGCTTCTCTTCTTGTCTGTTGGCCTGTGATTGAGAACCAGAAGCTGCTTGTCCAGAAGACTGTTTTGATTCAGTCTTTGTCTCGTGCTCGTGAAACCAGCTACTGGACTTGGTTTGTGACGCCTTGGCTGAGAAGGTGCTGAGTGTCATCTTCCAGTCGGTCTCGGCTCTAGTCGCGAACTCAGACATCGACAGGTCCTTTGTAGCTTGTTTTGTTTTGATAATCTTCAGCTGGCCTCCAAATTTGGCTGACTTGATGTAGTGTGTTCCCCAGCGGAGGTAGAAGTTTTCTAAAATGGAATATATAGGAATATGTAATATTACCGTTTTTGCTATAGACAACATCTTGCAATAAACGTGCTGTAGAAGATTACAATTTGTATCGGTTTCATCACCAGTAATGTGTCCTTCACTATTGATTTATAAGTAAAAAATACGATGACATTGAAATTGTTTTATATATATATTCCTTATCCTTCATGAATGATAAGGATTTGATATAGCTAAGCGACATATTTTCTACTTACGAAAGAGAATTTCTGCACCGGGAGAGAAGTAGGACTCAGGCAGGGAAATAAAGTCTCGTAGGAAGCCCACGTTTAACTGTTCAGGCGTCACGTCGTCCATGAAGATCTCATACCTGGAGATCACGTAACACAAAATAGAAGCAGGTCATTCAATTTTCAAATGTAAGTAGCCCCAGAATCCCTCATTACCTTTGCCAAGAAGGTTATGTTATCTGGGGCGTTCGTGTGTCTGTCTGTGAGTGTGTTTGTTTGTGAAAACGATGATAGTCCATGAAGGCTTAATGTATTTGGAAGGCAGGTAGATCTTGATGAGACCTCAAACCGATTAGATTTTGGGCCCTCTGGCGGCTTCAGCATGATTATACTGCAGCATGATCGCTCTGGAACTGCAGGGGCATGGTTTAAAACGTTTAAAGGCGGATAACTCAAGAACCGACTGATGGATCGTAGTTACTTTTAGTACATAGGTAGCTTAAGTGATGCCTAACATAATGTTATTACCGTTATGAAAATATGGATGTACTTTGCATAATAAATGAGCAAATTCTATAAATCAGCCGGATTACATGAAAGGACTATGCAATCTTGTGACATATGTAGTTAAAAACGAGAGAAACACAGGCAGATATCGAATATGTAAATAAGCATTTGATTTGCATTATTTATGAGGCATTTGTAACAAAAAGACTGTATTTTGGTGTAGGATATGATCAATATATAGAATTCATTAAATTGAGGATCTTATTTACGCAATCTGGGGAAATAATTTATAATTTCTTAGCCATAAATAATAACATCATTTGGCAAAGGTATAAGATCGCTGAACTCTAGTTGGTATTTGGTACTATAATTTTGAGGAAAAAAACATAGTTAGCAATTTAATACCAGGGATTTTTGACCTGTAAAAGGAGCATCATAATTTATCACCTGAATATGTTTATTTCCAGCATGGCCATGAATGTTTGTGTCTGCTTCTCACTCAGCCGAGCGGCAGCAGAGGAGCTGGCACTGAAGCTTGATGATTGGCTGGATGTGCCACTCTGACTGGATTCTCCTCCTCCTGCTGACCAAAAAAGTCCAAACGCTCCACCCCCTGCTCCGTGTCCAGAAGCCTTGTCGATTTCTTCCTGGAACATGGCACTGGCAGAAGTGACGGCTGATTTCTCCGCAAGGTATTGCCTGTATTCTTCCGTTGAGCTGAAGGTGTAGGACTCTACATCTGTGTCGTATATGCCTTGTACTGTCATAGAGTCAGGTACTTCATTTTTACCGTATCTGTTTAAAGACAAAAGAAGTTACTACGTATACTGTTCGATATTAGATATATTATAATATTCCTAAAAATTACATTTCTTTTACTCAGTGTTCTAGTATTTTCACTTGATTTTCAATTATCTGAATTCTGCACTCACACACACACATTAGTGTACATTTGACTTGAGAATGTTATCTTTAACTGTGCCTAAATGATCAAATGAAATAATAGAATTGGTAATTTAATGCAGGTAATGAGGTTGTGTTAGAATAATCGGGTTCGTCTGGCTATAACTACCTTACAGATTCCTTTAGCACTTACTTATCAGCAAGCTACACTTTACGTAAAATTCAGGTTAGGAGTTGATATCATAAAGTAATTAGTTGTCAGTAGGGGTCCAAATAATTTCTTAATAAAAATAAGTACTAGTATGTAGTACTTACGTTTGCAAGTTATTACATGATCTCTGGATGACACTTTTCTTCCTAGATTCAGCCGAGTACACGCCTCTTCCGTCAAACCCGATACCGAGGTAGGTTGCGCCGTCTATCAGGTTCTGTTTATTGAAAAGGTTTAGCAACTTTTGTTTCCATGATACATGCAAATAGCTCTAAATTAAAGGATGTAAATTGGAAAGCTTTCTAAACATGGCGAAGGAAATCAATATTACAAAGCAGGCAGACCTTTTTAATTAATGCCCACCGTTTAATGCAATGAATCATAACACAAAAATCAAATCAAATCAAAATACAGAGGCAGATTGAGATATATTTTCACAGATAGATGGATAATTAAAACGCTCTCTAAGAGATAAACAGACAAAACACTTATCATGTGAGTTCATCTGTGTTGGTAGTAATCATAGTAAAAGGTTAAACTTTATTCCAACACTCAGTTGTACAGGGATCAAATTTTCATGTCGCCCTTTATCAGGATAATTAGTGACCAATCACTACACAACGTGATCTCGCGAGAATTATGGTTTACGAAAACATGACCTTATCCACACGAGGTTTCACTGATACGTGACGTAAGTAATTGATCAAAAGTGCCAGGGAGTTTATATCGTCCACCATCTCTATTAAGTGAAGGCTGCAGTGCTCTGATATATATGGCCTCCTTAATGCCTCTTAAAAAATAGTCCCGTTCAGTGTCCAGTATTCTCACTTTGTCCAAAGAGACGGAGTGGCCCGGTGATTCGATGTGGATGTGTTGAGAAACTTCAGATGACAGCGATCTGGGGCGTTTGTATTCAAGAAATCTGGTTCTCAGTGAGCGTTCTGTCTCGCCAATATAAGATTCTTCTCAGGCCCCTTGCCTTCTGGTTCCCTGACACGGAATGTAGTATCATGTAGTATACTACGCCACATTTCTCTTCTTTAGATGCTTTGTCCTTTGGAGCCACGAGGATCTGTTTCACCGGGCCACTCCGTCTCTTTGGACAAAGTGAGAATACTGGACACTGAACAGGACTATTTTTAAGAGGCATTAAGGAGGCAATATATATCATAGCACTTCAGCCTTTACTGAGAGAGGTGAAGAGATGGTGACGATATAAACTCCCTGGCACTTTTGATCAATTACTTACGTCACGTATCAGTAAAACCTCGTGTGAATAAGGTCATGTGTTCGTAAACCATAATTCTCGCGAGATCACGTTGTGAAGTGATTGGTCACTAATTACCCTGATGAAGGCGACAGTGGTCGCTGAAAATTTGATCCCTGTGCAACTGTGTGTTGGAATAAAGTTTAACATTTTACTAAGACAAAACACTTAATTACCGGACAGCCTTCTTGTGGTATCTTGGCCTCCCAGCAGGGGTCTCCATTCTTATAGCCTGTCCCGAAGCAGCCGTTCATCAGAACTGGTCCTAGTCCGGCCGGGTAGGTGTAGGCTGATGCCTGTCCGCCGGAATTGCCTGTGTCTTCATCTCTTAAGTATACAGAAAAATCATATTTCTGTGGTATGAGCCAACTTGATCTTAAGTCCTCATCTGATTTTAATGAAATGCATGTGCTTTATTGACGTTTATTATATTGTGTTATACAGGTAATGATCTCTCAACATCATTTTTATAAAATACATTTAGCAAAATATGTTTGAACCACCGTTGGTGATATTTGAAGTGTATACGCTATCTGTTTGGGAAAATGCATGTTGTATCTGTTAACTATAAATCTCTTTACCTTAATTTGGTGGGACCTGTCCTTAGCCAAGTGTGGCAAAATGTTCATTGAAGGTCGTCATATATTCATTCATTCATGCATTTGATTGCCAAAATATAATAATCAAGACAACGAAAGTGTGAAGTATTGTGAAAAACAATTGTAAACAAACCTGTCTTCCTTGTATTTGTACTTATGACGGATCTCCCAGCCTGGTGGTGCATACATGTTACCCATCTTGGCTCCTGGTCTGGGGACAAGCTGGATGTCCGCCTGTTACAAGTAATATGTTTTATAAAGAGTAGTACAGTACATCTGAAGTGTTTTACTGTACCGTTATGTACACCAGTCCATTTTTTAAAGTTTGTATAATAAATGAATTATCATTCTTCTTTTTACAGAATTGTTCTTTGTGTTGGTTTTGAGGTTCTTTAAAGTGGTGGAGGCGTCCTCGATCTGGTCAGACTGCTCTCGAACTTCAGCCAGCCTTGATCGACATTTGTTCGGGGAATAGGTTATGAATGTGTAACAAGAGCTTTACCCACCTCCTCCACCGGTCGGTTTAAACCCGCTGCCAGCCCACTGGTGTCCTTCAGCAGTTCTTTGTACTCATCGTCGAACTTGTCCATCTGGTTCACCAGGTAGTCCTGCAGACCGTTCACCACCTTCTCCTGGTGGTTCTTCACTACACCGTCCGCGATTCTGTCGCCAAGTTTGCTGACGATTTTCCCTCCTATTTCTTTCGCTGCTGCTGCCAGGAATGCAGGAACTGCCTTTTTGTTCTCTCTGTGGCCGTCAGTAGAACTTCCAGCCTTGGTCTGGGTTCCTACATCATTATTGAAAGTAATAATATGCCTTTTTTGACGTAATGTGCATACGATGAACTTAGAGCTCAATCAATGGCATTCTACTAGAAAAATGTATAAAAATGAAGTAACCTTATAAGGGCATCATTTTCGTGCCAAAAATTATTTCATTTCATTAAATTGCCGTAGATAAGTGTACAATGCAACATTCAAAAGGGGCATTTTGAATTGCAGGAATGGGTAAATAGTCTCGCCCAAGATGGCCGCTTCTTTCGTCTAAGCTGAGTGTCCCCATATAAAACGTTAAAGAAGCCTTCAACAAACTCGGAATCATCCTTAAACTGGAAGATTCTGTGCCCAGTGCAACACAATAAGGAAGTACTCCCCACTATGGCTTCTCCAGCAGCTTGAATAGTGAATTGACCCCAAGAACCACATAAACTAATAAACATCCTAGACGGCCCAGCTACAATGGCAAACAATGGCAGGGACAGATTAGCATAATAACTGTCACTGTCTTTTTGAACAAATTCAAATATTTTTCTATACTGGTTTTCAAAGTAATGATATCAAACCATACAGAATGATCGGGATAGTTGTAACTGAGTCAGTAATCAAGAAAATACTATCTGGAACTTTCAGTTTCTGGAAAGCCAACCTTGTGGTCAAATTGCAACTGCCCATTCAAGACCTATTTCGAAGTTTTATCTAATTGTATATATCTAAAATGTCAACCTCACAACTGGATTAGGTTGGATAGTGAGTCTAGAAGAGGTAATTGTTTCTGGGTTGCAATTGTGGTAGTATGAGAAAGCAGTACTAGTATACATATAGACTGGAGCTCTGTTAGTAAGAACTGTTCGAGTAAGACTGCCAGCCAATCTATAAGTATATAACTTATATAACTATAATTTGGTGGCTAATTGACAGCCCAAAATTTACAACCTGCAGCCTATACCGAACGTTAACTTCTTTTCAGGGACAAGCAAACAGACTAAGAAACTTAACTTGTAACGTTCATTTGATCGACACCAGGTATGTTGACATCGTATCACTGTTAGTTAAAGAGCTTTTGGCTTTGACACCGTCAATAACGCAATAACAGCATAAAAATTAAGATTAAGGAAAATGTGCAAAAAATGGTAAACTTTCAATAACAGCCACGTTGCTACAAATATATCATGCAAACATTGGTACTAACTATGTCATAAAAATCCAAAGGCATAGATCTGGCAAAATTTAAGGCGGAGCCTTCCCCTTAGAATATGGCCTACTTTTAGGGACAAGTACAGTACTAGAACACAGGAATTCGACCTGTGGAAACATGCATTTCATAGACAATATATAGGTTTATACTAGGTGTAAATTTTAATTCCAAAATATGTTAAGACTTATAAAAAGTAAAAAGATATCTCAAAATGACAAATGAGAAAATAAAAATTGACCGACTTTTAGGGACAAGTGCGTAGCAACGAAACAAGAACCCAACCTTTGAAAGCATTCATTTCATTGACAATATATTGTTTTATATTTCACGCATATTTCAAGTACCATATTTTTTGGTTTGGAACTCTTGACAGTTCAAAGATAGCACAAAATGACGTACTATCAAAATAATGAAAATTAATCAACATTCAGGGACAAGTGCATAGTAACGAAATAAGAACCCTAACTTTAAGAGCATGCATTCCTTAGACTATATTTTGTATTCTATTGAATTCGAAAATTAAGTACAGAAATATTTTGGTATGGTACTTATGACAGTTCAAATATAGCACAAAATGACAAATAATCAAAATAATAGAAAAATGATCCACTTTAGAGGACAAGTGCG